GGAGAGAGAGGAGAGAGAGGAGAGAGAGGAGAGAGAGGAGAGAGATGAGAGAGAGGAGAGAGAGGAGGAGAGGAGAGAGAGGAGAGAGAGGAGAGAGCGGAGAGAGAGGAGAGAGAGGAGAGAGAGGAGAGAGAGGAGAGAGAGGAGAGAGAGAAAGAGAGAGAGAGAGAGAGAGAGAGGAGAGAGAGGAGAGAGAGGAGAGAGAGGAGAGAGAGGAGAGAGAGGAGAGAGAGGAGAGAGAGAGAGAGGAGAGAGAGGAGAGAGAGGAGAGAGAGGAGAGAGAGGAGAGAGAGGAGAGAGAGGAGAGAGAGGAGATCATGTGGTCCATGCCCTTCATTCCACGCTTGGGAGACTGAAGATGAATCAAAGGTGCTGAAAAGAATATTTCAACTGCCAAAGCCCGGTTTGCAAGGTTGCGCCATAAAACCATGTCGAAACGACGATTGTTCCAACACTGGGCTCCCTTTGGCAACCAGGGCATGGCTTGAAACTGTCTGTGGCCTTGTGGTTTCCAGAGATGTGTGTGTGTGTGTGTTGCGTCCCGCCGCCTGCCCCATTCCGCTCTCCTGAGATCCTCCGACAGCAGCGAGCGCTCGAGCTTGGAGGGGGTGCCTTTGAACCGCGCAGCCTCGAGTGGTTCGCACTCCCACCCTTTTTTCGGTTCCGCAAATGTCTCAAAAACTTATGGGGGACCGACCCCTCCCCCCCAAGAGAAAGGCTGGTCTCCTTTTGGCTTCCCTTTATAACCTGATGAAATCCAACGAAGAATGGGAGGCTATCAGAAAGCAGACACCATGCTCTACAAAAATCTAAAGCGCCGCCAAAAGGAGCTTCTTAAAGAGGCAAGAAACGGGACCGACCCCTATCTCAAAACGGTATCCGGCACGCAAAAGGGGAGTTTCCGCTCGCCACTCGCGGCAAGCGGCGACTTGAAACCTTTATTGCTCTTTTGCGCTCATAGCAGAGGACATTTGGGGGCTTCCCAGAGGAAGGTGTCCACAACCATGGCCCAGCCTGAAAAGGGGATTGTTCTTGAATGGCCACACGCCCCATCTGGCGCTGTAAATTGCCATCTGCCGGGAACCTTTGGTGGCGCAACTTGGCGCAACAATGTCGACCCCTGATAAGGTCACGAGACGATTGTCTGGAGGGCCCCTCCCGCCATATTTTTTGGGGGGACATGAAATCGGAGAATCGCTCCTGGTCCACCTCCCCCCGTCCCCGCCACCCCGCCACCCACCCCGCCTGCCGCAGCCTCCGGCTCTCCCGACGCCCCCGCTGAACCGCCTCCGCGATGCCTTCCAGGCGCGCCCGCAAGCGCTGGCGCACCGCCCCCAGCACCTCCTGCCGCGCTTCGCACTTTTTGCGTTTCGCGCTGATCGCCCGGTGCGAAGACCTGTTGGCCGCCTGCCTTTTGGCAGCCAGCCAGGCAGTGGAAAAACGAGAAGGAAAAAAAAAACTTTAGGGTTGGGATGATGGTTGGTTGATTCCGTTTTTCCCAGAACCATTGCGAAGGGTTCTCCTGGTAAAAAAGTGATGTTCAGCACAGCTCAACTGCACAGAGAAAGTGCAGACTGAAATGCGCAGAAAAATGAACAGGGAAAGTGTCGAGGGAAAGCGCGCAAAGAAATGCGCGCAGAGAAATGCGCAGGGAAAGTGTACAGGGAAAGTGCGCAGAGAAATGAATAGCAAAATGCACAGGGAAAGTGCGCAAAAAAAGGCACAGCAAAATTGCACAGGGAAAGTGCGCGAGGAAATTTGCACAGCTTCGAGCACGCATCGCACGAAGAAACTTACGCACGAAACTAAAGTCAGTCTTTTAAGGCGGAACGGTTGAGCGAACCCACTCATCACAAATGACACACTCTGAAAGGATCGGCGTGGTCGATGTTAAAAAACTGTTGTTGTTGTTGTTGTTGTTGTTGTTGTTGTTGTTGTTGTTGTTGTTGTTGTTGTTGTTGTTGTTGTTGTTGTTGTTGTTGTTGTTTGTTCTGTTTTTCGATTTTGGATTTGCCCGCGCGACCCTCTGTAAAGATCGACGTGGTCGATGTTAACAAACTGAGAACTTTTTTCTGATTCCTGCGGTGCCCGCGCAACCCTCTGCGGTCAATGTCTACAAACTGCGGACTTGTTGAGCGATTTTCGAGGTGCCCGGCGGGCTTTCTGCAGGGATCGTGCTCGAAGCGGCGCCGTGCGTATCTGTCGCCTTTCAAGTACGAAAGTAGTACGCGAAGTGCACTCCCGCAGCTCCGGCTCGAAAGTCCCCGCAGCTCTGGCTGGAATGTCGCAGAACTTGCAGGGCACTTGCGCAGAGCAACTTGCGCAAAGCCACTTGCAGAGCGCTTGCACAGAGCAGCCTGCGCAGAGTCGCAGAGCAACTTGCGCAAAGCAACTTGCGCCGACGAACTTGCACAAAGCAACGTGCGCTGACAAACTTGCACAAAGCAACTTTCACTAAGCAACTTGCACTAAGCAACTTGCGCAGAGCAATTTCGGGCCAACACACAAGCAACATCCCCTCCTGAGGAACATTCCTGCATGTCGGTTGTATTTGCTTGCTTTTGGTGCTTGAAGAGTTTCACAGATGCGAATGCCAAGTGCTGCATGCGAACAGCACAAGCAACACCTCCTGCAACAATCACTCCACTAGCATCCCTGCATGTCGGCTTGCTTTGCGTCGATTTGATGCTTGAAGGGCCTGAAGAGTTTGCTCGTCTGTGATGAAGAAAGTGTCTCAGAGATGTTGTCGTGACATTGCGTGCCTATACCGCAGCATTTGCATGTTTCGAAGCAAGGAGATGCAAGGACAACTGGGCAACGGATCTTGGGTCTGGTGGAAAAGGGCAAGCCTTCACGGCGGAGACGCTTTTAGCAATCAGCCTGAAGCTTTCCAAGAACAAGTTCTTCGCGGTTTTCTTTCGCGACCTGTCCGATAAGGCCATGGAGACGCATGCGGTTCCCGACGGCAAGGTGTGACTTTGGATTGCTGCAGGAGCAGTACCACGCTTACGAGCGAGCCGACGTCATCGACTTGGTGGGCATCTTGAACTTAGACGCGGACTAATTTCTGCTTGCAGTCACACGCGTTGACAAGCTCTCGTGCGCCGGCGGGAGATGTGCTCTATGAGGCGCCACCCGGCTTGACAGGTTGACAGGCTAGAAGAAGGTCCGCAGCTGCTACACAAACAGACACGCATGAGATCAATTCTCGGGCCACCTCTCGTCTACCTGTTGTACCGTGCGGTGGCCGGCCATCCACGGAGCTCCCATCCAACTGATGCATGTATGCTTGAATTCCGCGCGGCATTCTCTGACTGGGCCGAACCCCAGTTGCTCGGCTGTGGTGGGTTCAGCCCCCCCCTCCCAAAACTTGAAAAATCCTACATTACCCCTTAGGGGGAAAAAACTCAACCGAGAAACTGGCCAAAACTCTTCTGTTGGAATGATTTAGGGATTCCCCCATGCTCCGTCGGAAGCCCGCGCCAGCGCGCCTTGGGCAGCACATCGCCCTCAAGCCAGGCAGAGCGGAGGTCGAACTCCGCTAAGGCCTCACGAGTTGGCCACGGTTCCAAGAGGAGCCTTAAGGGGCCCTGGCAGCAGTTCGACGCGCGTCAATCATAGGTGTCCTTTTAGGCGAAATAGATGGCCCTGGTGGTAAACCAGGGCCATCGAGTTTGCTACCAAAACAACCAACAAGGACACCTCTGGCGTCAATGGCAACCCATCGACTATTAAACTGGCCACAGCCTCACAGCCAAGGAAGCACTTGGCGGAAAATAGGATGTGTTGCTTGTTGTTCAACCACCATCCACCATCCACCATCCACGCCACATTGCACTTTGGAATGGGCCAATCACGCCAAGCACCCTGTTGGCGAATATGTTTTATGCTGAGCAAGACTTTGTGGCTAACCAAGCCGACAGCTCGAGGTTCATAAAATTCATAAGCAAACAAAGAGTATCACAAGCAATAAAACTCGCACGTTCATGATTTTATGACGCCAACCATGTTCTTATTTGGTTGGTTCTTGGTGTCGTTTCCCTACCACTTTGAGGGTCAAAGGATGGCGCAATAAGGGCCGGCATCGTTTTGTGGTTGAGGGGAGGGGGACGGATGACTCCTTTCCGTTTGTTGGGGGAATGCTGTTGGTTCTGCAGCAGGTTTGGACCGGCCTTCAGGGTAAGTCTATTGGGTGAGGACAAAGGCAACTTGCGGTTTGATCTAAGGGTTTTTTGTATTACACCCTCTGGGTATTGACCCCATTTAGGCACATTTCCGGATAAAGCCGGAACCATTCTGGGTCATTTCCCAAGGGTGTAACCCATGTGTAATACAAAAACCCTCAGATTTGAGCAAGTTGCGCGCCACCCAAAATGAACACCATCTCAGAGAGAGCGAGAGAGAGAGAGAGAAAGAGAGAGAGAGAGAGAGAGAGAGAGAGAGAGAGAGAGAGACAGAGAGCGGCTTGAGCCGACGTGTAAGGCCAGGGGTCGAGGCACTTGCAGCGAAGCTTGCAAACAATGAGCTGCGTCCTTTCAATGATTTCCGCACATTTTCAGTGCCAGAAAATCGCCAAAGAGATGGGCGTGATGAACACCTAATTTTGTCTTAATTACCAGCCTCGACCTCAAAGAGAGAGAGAGAGAGAGACGTTAAAATACGTCGTTACTTTACTACAAGTGCAAGTGTTGTTTATGCTGTCACAAACACAAATGTAGTTTCCCAGCATGCGCTCTTTTGCTTGTAGACTCAAGGCCTGCGGTCGAGTAGTGTACATCATGCATGTACAAGGGACAAGTAGTACAGCATGATATTTGACACGGCCCCTTGGTTAAAAGACCCTGTAGTGTCTTTTCAACCATATCCAGAAAGGGGAAAAAAGTGCAAAGGGCTCAAAGTAGTTTTGACTGCAAAAGGATCGAAAGTAGTATAACTACAACTCTGCTGGCTGTAGTCCACTGACTCTCAAAGATCAAAAAAAGCTGTAGTATGTACAGGCTGATCTCAGTAGCTCTCCTGTTCAGGCCTCAGTAGTGGTACTGAGTGGAGTTCATGAGATACATCCCGATGTAGTTTGGACCTGGAGGTCCAAAGTAGTAGTGAAGCTGTGGTGCTGCTTCACTGATGTAGCATCACCTGTAGTTAGGTGTGCTTAGTCCAATGCTGGACTCTGTAGCCTTGTTGCCGACCAGTGCGGTGGTCAAGGCTGGCGTAGTGGTTGGTAGTGAAGGTAGTAAGGAAGTCAGGGCCTCCTCGAAGACAAGTGTAGTTGATCTCTGGAGGTGGAAGTGGTTGTTGAAATGTAGTGAGTTTGTGTAGTTAGTTTGTGTTGCATGGGAAGATTTGTGGCAGTGAGTAGTGTGAATCCGTAGTACGTGGAACTCTTGTGCATGATGGTGTTGATTGCTTTGTAGTGGTGATCCTGTAGTTGTTGTGGTTGGTCGTAGTAGCTGAGTAGTTCAGGAAGGTAAAGAGGCATGTGGTAGCTCCAGATGTAGTTGTTGGACAGGTTGAAGGTATTGGTGATCTGGTTCATGTCGTAGTTGATCCTGTGAAGTCGTTGGGGTAGTTGCCGAGTGGGTAGGTGATGTTGGCCAATGATTGACACCATGTGACTCAAGTAGTCACGAGAAAAGTTGATGAGGTGGCCGCTGCTGATGTAGTGTAGCAAAATTTCTGGAGGGAGATGAAGTCGAACGATGACCATGGAGTTGGTGTGCGATGTGGTGAGGTGTAGTGAAGTCAAGTTGTAGTAAAAGAAGTTGAACGCTTCTGAAAAGCGTAGGCTGAGTGGTGGTGAATCGTAGAGGGGCATTCGTAGGTCTGATGGCAGGTTGTGGATGGGCAGTTGGTAGTCGAGGTCTGGCATTGGCGTGGTCTGCTGTTGGCTGAGTAGTTGATACTCCTCCAAGGTCAGCCCCACGTAGACCTCGGCGTAGTTTCGTCCCTGATCCACAGTCGGAGTGTGGATACTGTCGTACTCGACAGTAGTGAGGTGGTTCAGGATGTCATCTGGCCTGTAGAATGGTGCATTGGTCGGTAGTTGGTGGTTGAAGTGGTAGTTGAGGGCATTGTAGGCCTCAGGTGGCGGAGGTGCCACAGAGACCATGCTGCTGGCATCTGTAGTGGATGGTTGGTTGGGTGGTGTCGAAACTCGGTCAGGTGTAGTAGTGCCAATCTCCTGTGCTGGCACAGTAGTCTCAGGCGCGGTCGTAGTCGCATCCATGGGTCCAGACATTGCTGGTAGTGCGATCAAGCAAACGAAGTGAGACGGGGCAAAGTAGTGAGCCAAATGGTAGCTCACAAAAAAACACATGCGGGAATGTAGTAAAACAAAACAACATGTAATGTTGTCTCAAGCCGCCAAAAGCCGCCAAAGCGTGTAAGTGCAAATTACTGGTGGTTACAATTACTGTGACTTGTAGTTACTGTTACTATTACTTACATGCAAGTAGTTACATATGGCCATATACAAACTGTTGTGGTTGATGTGAAATAGTTGTGAAACAGTTGTTGTTCGTAGTGCTAAACGCGTATGCCGATGCTCTGTATGAGCCTCTGTAGTGTTTCTTTGCTGATGTATTTTGTGAACAAGTCTGAGCTGTTGTGTAGTGTGTTGATTTTGAGGATTCTGATGATGTCGTGCTTGATGAGGTCTTGTGTGTAGAGAAATTTAAGGTCGATGTGTTTTGCTCGTTTGCTGGTGCCTTGTCGTGTAGCAATGCTCTTGCCTGCTGTGGAGTCTGTGTGGATGCGTAGGTTTAGCTTGCTGCAAATGTTGGTTTCAAGTAGGAAGTTTCTGAGGTGTAGTCCCTCATTAACTCCTGTGCAAATGGCGTAGAGTTCAGACTCTGCTGAGCTGAGTGCTATTGTAGCTTGTGTTCTGCTGCCAAATGCAACTGTTGTTCCTAAAAAGATGATGTTGAAACCTGAAGTTGATTTCCTGGTAGTAGGGCATCCTGCCCAGTCGGCATCGACATGAACGTCGAGATCCAGGATGTTGTTGGTGTTTGCTCTGAGTGTTGTTGTTGGTTCTATGGTGAATTTGTAGTGCTTGGTGCCGTGCAAGTAGCGTAGTAGATGTTTGACTCTCTTTTGTGAAAGTTCTGTAGGTGCTGTGAGGTCTCGTGCTAGTTCTTTTGTGGAGTATGCAATGTCTGGTCGTGTGTATGCTAACCATTGAAGTTTGCCAACAATCCTTCTGTACCTTTTGTGTTGTTCGTGGTCAAGTAGCGCTTCATCTTCTATTGTTGGTTTGTAGTGTGCAATTCCTGGAGTGTTCACTGAGTTGCAGTTGTTCATTCCAGACTCCTCGATCATGTTGTCGATGTAGGAGTCCTTTAGTCCAAGATTGCAGTAGTTGCCAAAGTGGTCGATATTTCTTCCAAGAAATTGTTGTGGTTTGCCAGGTTCGAGGTAGCCGATGTGCTTGAGTAGGACCTGCTTCTGGATGGCCTCGAAGGTGGAGTCGACTGTAGTCTTGTCACCAAGTACCAAGAGGTCATCCACGTAGACCATGATGTAGCAGTCGCGAGTCGCATTGGTGTAGACGTTAGGTTCTGACTTTAGTCTTACAAAGCTGAGCTTTTGTAACACTTCAGCCAGGTAGTCCTGCCATGCTTTTGGTGAACTGCGTAGTCCATACATGGCTTTCTTTAGTCGCCAGATTTTGTCCTGTTGTGGACAGAGCTCTTCAAAGGTAGACGTCACGTTGCTTACCGTCGTGGTCTTTTGCGATGGGTGCGTGTAGAAATGCTGTAGAGACGTCACCTAGTCGCGCTATCCAGTTCGGTCGTGACATTTGTAGTGCGAGAAGTGTCCGGAGTGTCGTGAACATTGGTGTAGAGGCGTAGACGGAGTCTTCGTCCTCGATCTTCTCTGTGTAGCCTTTTGCGACGATTCGGCTTCGTACTCCTGGTCCTTTCTTTCTGTGTACCTACCTTGTAGGCATCGCTTCTCTGATGACGTTGTCGTCGACGGTAGACGCATCTACTTCGTCGTAGACGTCATGTAGCTTCATTTGGTTTGACTCGTGTTAATTTCATTCCTTCCAGTAGTTGTGTTTCGTCGTAACCTTCGTTGTCGAAGATTATGGGTTGGTATTCTGAGGTGTCGTCGTTTGTGTAGGGTGTGATGGATTTTCCGTTGGGAAGTGTCACTGCGTTGATTTTCTGTCGTAGTGGTGGTGGTTCTTTGGTTGCTTGCTCCGTTGATCTGATTGTAGTGTCCTTTGAGGTCTTCTGTGCTTTAGTTGGTTGCATTACTTCTTCCGGAGTTAAACGTCGTAGTGCTTGTCGAGGTGGTGCTGGTAGTAGTGGTGGATGTTGTCGTCCGGTTGGTGAAGTAGCCATCGGACTATCCGGTAGTGGTCGTGAACTTGACGTCGATGTTGACGGAAGTCGTGGAGGTGGTGTAGTGCGTTGTTGTTTTGTTTTGTTGCGGGTTCCGCAACGATGTCGTCAGTAGCGTTCGTTTGTTGTCCGAAATCTTGCGTGGACCTGCTTTTCTCTGACGGTTGTAGTTGCGTATCCAACAGTGTTGCAAACGATGGGTTGTAGGTGTTCCGTCGTGGTGCCCATGGTGTGCCGGAAACTTTGCTCAACAGTGCGAGGTCGTATTTGAAGTCCGGTTGTAGTCTCCGTACTGTTCGTACTTTTTGTACGCCTGATTCCGTTGCGACGTAGTTTTCTCCGGTTTCGGAAACTTTTCCGAGCCAGATGCATTTCTGCATCCGTAGGTCTGCTTTTGGAAGTTTCTTGTGTTGTGGTGGAAGGTAAAGTAGTGTCTCGCCAAATTCGCAGATTGCTCGCTCGTAGTTTCTTCCCCAGCGGCGTTCAAAGCTTGTGTAGCCGTCTGAGTGAATGACGTAGCGATTTACCGTCCATGCTGCATGTCGTACTATCCAAGGTAGTAGACAGTGCTTTGTGGACATCGTCATGCTGTAGTTGCTTTCAACCTGAGCTTTGACGACGCGGATTTGTCCGAGAAGTGTTCTATGTAGTCGCTCAACGCTTCCTTGACTGTTGCTGCTGTAGGGTGGTGAATGTCGTACAGTCATTGAGCCGACTTTAGATGCTCTTGCTTTTAGTAGTGCATTGAGTGTGTCTTCGTTGTCGCTTTGTAGTATGCCTTGTGTTCTTCAGCATTCAAAGATGAATGCTTGTAGGTTGTTGATCATGTAGTCCATCATTGATGGTTTGTCCGGAACCAATACCGCCATGCACAGTTGTGTAGTAACATCAACTGCTGTTAAGACTGGTATGGTCTTCGGATCTTGTTGTGATTTGATGTAGGCAAAATCCACTTGGATGATGGGTTGTCGTGATTGTTGTTTCTTGTAGTTGTCCTGGCGTCCTTTGCCTTGAACGCAAATTGGACACCAATTTCTGTATGGTAGGTGTGTCAAGTTGTGTTCTGCTATTTGTTGTGGAGTGGGCTGCTGAGGTTGTCGTAGTCCTCTTGCTCTGTGTGCTTCATGATGCTCGTGTTGTTGTTCCTCATCGTGGTTCTCCTGGATGTACTCGTAGTCTTTCTTCACGGTGAACCTTGTTGTTCCTTTCCATTGAAATGGTAGTGCTGCGTTGCCCATGACTGTCCAGTCATCTTTGCGTTGCGAAACTTCTCCAAAGTTGTTGTGAGTGATTGTAGTTCTGTGAGGTTCAAGTGTGCTGATTGGTGGATGTCCTGGTCCATCTGTTGGAGTGAATAGAGTTGTTCTAAGTGTTGTGTGGTGTCTTATCCAGTATTCACCTTGTCTTTCCCAGTAGTCTTGGTTGTCCTCCTGTGCTGTGAGTGGTCTGTGGATTGTCTCCTTTGGTTGTGTGGTGTCAAGATTTGTAGAAGGTGCTGCTTTAGGTCTCCATATCTTTTGTGGTGCTCGTAGTTGGATCTTTGATCTGGTTGGTGGTGTGTCCATTAGCCGTTGTGGTTGTGAGCTCTGCCTTGTTGGTGTGGTCTTTGATGTTGCTCTGCGTGTAGGTGTTATCTTTCTTCTGAATCTGGTTTCTCCAGTCCAGTTGTCACCTTCTAGTCTTCGTTGTAGTTCTTGCTTGGAAAGTTGTGTTGGGTTCTCTTGTAGTTGTTCTTGCTCTTGCCCTTGTCTGTTGATGATGGTTAGTCGCCAATCATCTAGTTCTCCTTCAGGTGTTGGGCAACCGCTGTTGTGTGGTGTGAATAATGCTTTGCGTTGATCTGTCGTAGTCCTTGGTCTGTGTGGGTGAGTGGTGCAATTTGCTCTTGTTGTTGTACTGTTTTCTCTGTAGGTTGAATCACAGCAATGGATTTTCCATTGTCTGTAGTCATTGGGTAGATGTCGAATCCTCTAGGGATGTCGATCTTCTCTGCTCGTAGGTAGTAAAGTCCTGAGTGTCTTATGAGGTGTGCTTGTTGTTGTCCATGTGTGATGGTGCAGTGTCGTGGAGTGAAGTCAAGTCCATATCCTCTATCAAGTAGTCTTGATGCACTGAGGATTGGATACTTCACATCACAAACGTAGTAGGGCATCATGATCCTGAAGTTGTCCTGCTTGTAGGGAACGTACTTGATGCCGTAGACAGGAATCTTCTTGTTTGTAACCGTGTAGAGTTGTGGAACCGATTCTCCACAAGGTCGTAGCGGTAGGTCTGGTGCGTAGTCCTTCGGGCAAACATGTGTAGATGCTCCTGAGTCGATCAACAGGTGGTGGTATGACTTGAAGTTGGAGTACATGATGTAGTGTGTGATAGTGTCCTCAATCTTCTTGTTCCTTTGTTGTTGTCTTGCTGCTGCTATGTCAAAGTGTGGCTGTGTGTTGTCTTCTTGTAGGAATTGTTGAAAGCTCTTGCTGTGGTCGTTCCATGATGTTGTGTGTGTTGTTCTCTTGCCAAGTAGTGATTTGGATTTGTGCTTGTGTAGTCGTGAGTTTGCTTGTCTGATGTGTCCAATGGTGAGGTGTGACCCGTTGATGCCTCCAATGTAGATTGCTGTGTCCTCATAGCTGTTGTCATTCCAATCCCAGCCGTTGTCATAGTCGTAGTCGTTCCAGTTCTCCTCCATGTAGTTCACCTCGTGTTGTCCTTCTTCTCCTTCGTAGTACCAGTCCCAAGTGTCGTTCACATCCTGAGGTAGTTCTTCATTGTTGTCATGATCTGCTTGTTCTTGTTCTAGTGGATGTAGTTCTTCTCCTTCTCCTATGTGCCATACTGGCACTCTGCAGTCTTGTGCCCAGTGGCCAGGCCTTTGCTTGATCCATATCCTTTGGATCCTGAGTAGCCTTTTCCTTTGCTCTTGTTGTATCCTCCTTCGTTGTAGTTTCCTTTGCTGCCTTTGTCGAATCCTTTGTAGTGGCCTTTGTTTCTGTACTTGCCTTTTCCTTTGTTTCCTTTGTAGGATCCTTTGCCTCCATATTTGCTTTTGCCTTTGTAGTTTCTTCCTTTCCTCCAAATGTTGTCCACGTCCATGGGTGCTGTTCCACCATTGTAGTTTGTGCCAACCGCTGTGCTCGCTCTTGAGAATGCAGATATGGTCTTGTAGTAGTCCAGGATGACAACTCTGATCTCGTTGTAGTTCGTGATCTGTCCAGCACGTAGTTGGAGATGTTGTTGAAGTGCTCCTTTGGTCTTGTTGAGTAGTATTGCAATCTTCACTCCATCTGGTAGTGCTGTGCCGTTGTCTTTCTCGTAGCGGTTGATGTCATACTCCCACTGTAGGAATTGTTCTTCAAATTGTGCTTCATTGAATGTAGGTTCCAGTAGTTTGGTGAGGTAGCCAACACTGCGTGTTCCTACTGGTAGGCTGAACCTGTTGTGCAAAAGCCGTAGTGTTTCACATCCATTGGCATTGTAGCGGTTTTGTCTGACCACTGTAGCTGCTGCACCTTGGCAGATGTTGATGAGGATGTAGTGTAGATCTCGTGAGAGGTCTACTGCTTTTGCTGCCTGTGTAGGGTCGCGTATGTGGGCTCTGATGTCTGCATCTTCAATGTGTCTTGTAGCTGCTTGTGCTAGTTGTAGTACCATGTCGAAGTCTCGGTCGAGGAGTCCGAGGTATGCTTGTAGTTTGAACCGCCACTCTTCGTACTGTGAGTAGTCACCAGTGAAGAACGGTGGTGGCAGTTTGTATTTGTGTAGCCTTTGGACGTCTTCCTGCTCCTGTGTTGTTCCCGTAGTTGTGGCTCCTATTGTCTCCTCTGCTGTGGGCCCGTTGTCTGCTCCTGTAGTTGGTTGTGCTGATGCTGCTGCTGGTTCTCCTGACATGTCGTAGTAGTTGGGCATGTGGTTGCCTGTGCAGTTGTAGTACTTACTGCTGTTTCTGGAGCTCCCCTATGTTTAGGATCTCAGCTCCGCTACCACGTTAAAATACGTCGTTACTTTACTACAAGTGCAAGTGTTGTTTATGCTGTCACAAACACAAATGTAGTTTCCCAGCATGCGCTCTTTTGCTTGTAGACTCAAGGCCTGCGGTCGAGTAGTGTACATCATGCATGTACAAGGGACAAGTAGTACAGCATGATATTTGACAAGAGAGAGAGAGAGAGAGAGAGAGAGAGAGAGAGAGAGAGAGAGAGAGAGAGAGAGAGAGAGAGAGAGAGAGAGAGAGAGAGAGAGAGAGAGAGAGAGAGAGAGAGAGAGAGATTTCCATCGCTTTGGTAGCAACACCGAAGTATGGGCCGAATGAAAGCCTGACCAGGTGCAGGGTCCAATGCGCCCCCACAATCAACCTCTGAAACCTGCTTGCAAGAAGAAACCTCTCTCTGAACTCCGCTGGGTGCTGGGGTGGGGGTGGGGAGGGGGCGCTCCAAGAAGGTTGCGGACCAAACAAGAAGAAGAAGCAGAAGAAGATGTTTTGAACCCCCCGTTGTCATGCATTCTTCTAAACAAGCCGTGTCAAACAGCGCGAAAAAGCGTCCTCGACCTAAGGTCCCTCCGCCTCCTCGACTGCGAGGGCGTCCTGGTCGCACTGGCTGCCGGGACTGCTGGGGCTGCCGGGCTCCTGACCACTGGCCCCTCGCATTGCCCAAAGCAGATGGATCCCTCAAGCCAGGGCTTCGAGGAAGAATCCATGTGAATCTACCCCCCCCCCCAAAAAAAAGAAAAGAAGAAGAGAGCAAGTCCTTGCACCAAGCTATGTTAGTTGCTGGTCGGATCGCAAGCTATAGGGGATCCCATCTCATGAGAGCGTGGGCTTGCTGAGGAGCAGCCAAGCTCTGACAGCTGATGAGCTCTTCAGTCAGGACTTGCCCTACATTCCACCCAGAGAAAGTCTCTTATCCAGGGCTTCGAGTGGCAAACTGGAGAGACCAGCCACCCCCCGCCCCTCTGTTTAGATGGAACCCCGAAAAAAATGGGTGACTAGCCTCCGTTCCCCCCCCCCCGGCCCCATTTTGGCTTGCACACTTAGGAGCATCCCTCCACTAATTTTGACCAAAGCTATTCCTTGCCTCCCGCACGCTGCTCGCGGCTGCTGTGAACTTCTTGGCTATCTCCTGCGCAGATGAGGGCCCTGCAGTCATCCCCTTTACCGAACGCTGAATTCCAATCAAATACATCCAGCATACACGAAAACAGCAACTCCTACAAATCACATCAATCATCATATTCACACGATTTTAGAAGACTGCCCGGACTGGAATGGGAAGAGAACACGAAAAGCCCTGGCCTAGTTCGAACCTGCGAACGCATGTTTTCAAGAGGGCACATCTCTCCTGCTTGGGCCGAACATTAGGTAGCACTAGCCAGTCCAACATCTTGCACCCCGCACCGATCCCTCACAGAAAACAGGAAGGCGCCCCCAAACCCCCCCGACCCCCACTACTGCCCAAGCCCCCCACCCTCAAACTCCTCCAGCCTTCCCACCCCTTCCCCACCCCCATCCGCGACCTCCACCAGGGGGTCCAAGTGCAAGCTCCGCATGGCCTGCTCAGCCGCGGACACTGGGTCAGTCGCCGGGCCTGGCGCGTCACCCCCACAAAGTGATGGGTCATGAGAGGCTCGCCATTTTCGAGCCCGACCCAAGCGCCAAACCGCCTATTCGAACACGATCAAACCATCATTACTTGACCATCATCGTTGAAGACGCGCTGGGAGTCCGCGGCAACTGGTCCTTTGCACGTTCACCTCATTAGTAAGATGGGCCCTGAGCTTCCAAAAGGGCCACTTGGCTTTAGACACCCTGCCGCAAAGCAAGACACAGAGACTCCAAACAGGAGGGTGCAAAAGGCGTTGTGGCTGATTCAAACCCTCAACCCCGAACCCCCACCGCCCCAAAAGCCAATAACGTCGCCTGTATTCCCAGACATGGCCGCCACGAGCCGCTCCAGGCGTTCCGCCAACTGGCTCCCCGAGGCCTCTCAGTGGCCAGCCCACTCTGCGGATGGACCACTCACAACAGGGTCAAAAGACACTCCCCACCAATTAACCTGGAACCTGACCTTCGAGAGTCCAATGAAAAGGAGACTGGTCCAAGCAGGACCCCCCGAACGTCCAGGTTCCGACCCTGCAGTCAAAAGGCAGAGAGGTGCGCTTTCCAAAAAGGGAAGAATTCCCGGGGCAGGGGTTTAATGTCACACAGGGGTGAAAGTAGACAGCACCATTCACTTCTGGAAAACCGGAGCGTTGGACCTTGAAGGAAAGGGAGGGAAAGAGGAGGCTCACAACGCTAGACCTTTTGCGACGGCAACCCAAGCCAAAGGCTGATGCCTTTTTTCCCCTGTGCACCTCCCCTGCTCGCCCCTCAATCTGGCGCCTTTCCCATGCCTTGTGCCACCGCCGGCACCGACAGGATCCGCCGCCGCAACTCCTCCACCTGGAAAAAAAAACATCCCTTGGGACCTCCGCAAGGCTTAAGTCCGTTGTACAAGTTTAAGTAGAAACCCAAACAGCCCTCCCGGCGCGCACACTCCGTTGCCCAGGTCGTTTGGTGAGAAGGATGCTCGTGATACGGCCAAATGCTCGGGGCAGCGGGTGGTTCCCGACAAGGACGTGCCGGTGCAATGCTCAATCCGCATGCGGCATTCACCTCCAAACAACAGAGTTTAGCCCAAATTTCGTGAACCTCCCACTTTTGGGAGCCTAGACTAAAACTAGGCCGAAAAGAGGAAACAAAGGCATAAAACGGTTGCCTCTGGGCGGCTGAGTCAGTGAAAATCCCCCCCCCCTCCCCCTTGCTCGCGCGCACCTTGGGCCAGTAGGCGTCGTGCTCGCAGCAGGGCAGTGCTTCCAAAGCCGGGCGCTCGCCTCGACTTCGCGGGCAAATCAAGGTCTCGATGTGTGCCCTGCTTGTAGGGCGCCCCTTTGGCTTCCCTTTAAAGCCACGTGTTACAAACAAAAACATACGCAAAGGTGGCCAAGTCAATCGCTTTGCCACAAACCAAGACCCAAAGCAGCCACACGAAGACCTATCCTTTGACAACCTCACCTTGCTATAAAAACGACAAGAAAGAAACAGACACGAGTCAAACAAGCGCGAAACAACACCAACCAGCATACAAACAAACCAAGACGCGAAGAGCATGTTCCCAAACATGCACAAAACGAGCATTTACTCTACTTGCCCGCGGTCCCCTCAAAAACTTCAAGGTGGACCCTAAAGGGTGTGTCTAAAATGTGGGTATGTCATTTGTTTGAAGGTACCCCTTTCTTGTGGCTCTGCAGGAAAAACACTACAACAACTGCCCATTTTGGACCCACATCTACCTTAAAGTGTCCCAAACCAAGTGCCCTTCCACCAATGAACCTGGAACCCAACGTTGGAACCCGACGTTCGCGACCCGGTCCCTTTAAAAGGACCCTGGTCCAAACCAGGAGGGCCGTTCTCGGGAAGGGCGAGGCGCGGAAGGCGGCGGCGATGGCGCCCCGGGCGCACGTCCGCCCCGCGCCGGGCTGGGGCTGCAGGAGCCGCCGGGCCACCGCGTCACCTGGGATTCCGAAGATTCCGAAGATTCTAGGAGGAGGGGGAGGAGGGAGCCGCGGTCACAGGCAGCACTGATTTCCAACCACAGGGGTAACTTCCATTTCCATTCTTTCCAGGGATCCGAATCTTTTCATGCAAACCCTCAAAAACCAGGGGAAACAGCCGGTCTTTGAAAAAGAGCGATGGTTGAAAAGAATGGGGAATCAAGCCCTAGAAAGATGGCCGCTAACCCCACGGCCTTAATGGGATATGCCAAAATATTAATGCATGTGGTTGCTTGTTTGCTTGTTTACTCATATTTATGTATCTATGTGTTTATGTGATGTATGCATTTATTTATGCATTGACCTATCCATTTACGGTGTTTTGTCAAATCTTTATGTAAGTGACAATAATTAATTATCAATTGATTGATTTAAGCATTTAGTTATGCATGCATGCATGCATGCATGCATGCATGCATGCATGTAAGTAATGCATGCAGGTAGGTAGGTAGGTAGGTAGGTAGGTATGTAGGTAGGTAGGTAGGTGCTTTTTTGCTTGACTCATTTTTGTATCTACTATATACACATGTATATGTATCTGTTTGTATATGTATATATATGTAGATTGTTGCTTGTGTGTACTCATAAACAGAAATATTCAACCAATATGGAGCCACTGCATGCAGAGCATAAGGCCCATCTTGAGCGGGTGTAGCTTCGTGGTAGTGGAAACCATCATGGATGGTTCAACGCCAAAAGGGGGATTATTCTTTCTGTTTGCTCTGCTCCTATGAGTTCTGATGTGATCGAGCTCTCTATCCCGTGAGAACACACTAAGCGGAAGCTTGAGCTCTGCCCACTCAAAAGTCTATGATGGGATGCCAGCAAACCACCACCGATATGATCTTCCAAGTGGAGTTCACTGCTAGTGGATGAGTAAATATCCGTGGTCGGCATATCCCAAGCCGCCTATCCGCACAAACCGGGCTGGTCATCCAAATGGCACTGTGGGGAGGAGTTTGAGAACAACGGGGTGGCGGGGGTGTTTAGCCGAAGGTGTTTCCAAGCCAACAACTTTGAAGCCAGGCGCAAATTCTGAATAAGGTGTCTTTTCGAGTCGGGCTATCTGCCGTGAAACTGGCCTAGGCCTTAGGTACCATGTCACAGCCCGCTCTCGGGTGTTCAACACACCACCATAGGGCGCCGACCCAAACGGGGCAAACATGTGGCCAAGCAATGCGTTTACAACACAGCGCCTCCATTAGGAGCCCGACAAACTAAGCAATCCAAATTCCTCCTGCAGTTCGGTATGCAAATGAATGTTTCCAGAAAGGGTCCCGACGGGTCACTTAGGTGGCCCACTTTTTTCAGGGGGGGTGGAAGTCAAATCCATGTATCTACTATCTCAGTGCTCCAAAACAACCCGGAATAGAACCTTGGCCGGAGGGAAACTGAGGAAAGCCGAGCCAATCTTCTACTCCAGTTGTTCGCTCATTTGTTTCAAGGCTCGGAAGATCGGAGAGAACCTGCAAGCGGCGCCACGTTTTTGTCAGCTTCCGGATTCACGTTCACGGCTCAGCCCCTCTCCAGGGAAACCAAACGGAGCTTGCTCAAACAATAGTGGTTTAAACGTTGATGGCTGAACCATCTTGCAGCGATTTGACACCTGAACTTCTCCAGGCTTGGGCTGACACATGCAGGCCCTGCCTTCGCAGATTCGAAGAGGAACCACAAGGAGGCTGTTGACAACACCGCTGAATCGCAAAACGCCTACCAACCCCCTCCCCCCGTTCCCACAAAAAATAAGCTCAGGTGGAACCCTGGTGGAACTGTCGTGGAAACTTACCTCAGGGCCGCCCCGGACCACCCCGAACCCTATCTGGGCTGAGACCCCAAATCTTGCAGCTGTTGCAGAAAAAAAAATAAAACCTCCTCAAAAGCGAACGCCAAGGTGCCCAGCTCGAAGCGAGCGCCATTCACCAGCAGCAGCAGCTCTGGGGACCCGTTGGGCGGCCTCGGTTTCGGCCCTTGGGCCCTTTGGGCCCACAGACAAGGCGTTTGGGAGGGTGGAGAGGGGGAGGGCAACAAAAAGTGAGGCCATTGTTGAGGGTGCTGGACATGCTCGGCTTCAACACCCTATGTGTTTCTATGGGGTTCAAAGGGCAACAAAAAGGAAATCAAGAAGCATGGCGAAACCGCTCGTGTTTCTGGGAGCTGCACAAAAAAGGGTCCTAGAATCAGGGGCTTAAGAAAAACGGGGGGGAACCTCGTCCGCATTTTACGGCACAACTCGCGGCCGTGTTGGGCTCCAATCCTCAAAGCAACCAGCGGGTCAGCCGAAAGGGCAGACTTTTTCGACTTGACATATGCGAAATAGTCACAGCCATGGAAGAAACAAGTTGAAGCTCTGGCTCTGAAGCCGCTCAGGGCTGGTGCATAACAGGGGGCGAAAAAGTGATCTTGGATGATTGGTCAGGCTTTATCAACTGGGCACCCATAACCCACTCTTTGCGACCAACCGCCCATCCAACCATCCAACAAACCCAACTCATGTTGTGTAACTCATGTTGTGTTCGGATTTATTCGGTGCCCTTACGAATCAGGGGCGCTTCTCGCCGTTTTGGACATCTATAGAGGGTTCTCTGAACTAACCCAACCAACCAACAAACCGAACTAAGCCAATGTAATCCAACTAACACAATCCTGTGGCTCAAAATCTCCTAGAGCTACTGCAAACCAAAGAACTTTAGTCTTTGCTTCCATTTGCCAAGGCGCCATGTGGTACCTTTGCTTGCTTGGTTCTCAGCACAAAATCAACATGGGGTTTGGGAATGAGCCGAAAGAAGATCCCCAACGAAACCACAAGGCATTGGAACCTAGAGATTCCCGCAAAAAAACAACAACAAACAAAACAAGGCTCTATCAACTGAGAAGCCGCCGCCGAAAGGGCGCCAGCACCTTATGTCTACAAATTGATGAAGGTGGTGGATAAAAAAAGGGGGTGAACTCCCCCCAAAAGTGATCTTAGATGATTGCTAAGGCTTTCTCAACTGGGCACCCATCACCGACACCGTGCGACCTCCAACCATCCAAAAAGCCCAAGTAATGCATTACGAATCAGCGGTGCTTCTCGCCTATTTGGACATGATCTATAGGGCGTTCTGACCTTTGGGTCCTCCGCAATCCGAAGTCGTTCAACCCAACTAACCCAAAGCAACAAGCCCAGCGAATCCACCGAAGTCACCTAACTATTGCAACAAACCCAATTGAGCCAACTGCAATCCAACTAACGCAACAAGTTGCTGCAAACCAAAGAATCCTTGATTCTATTTACCCTGCCGATCGCAGCTGCAAGTTTTGGTTTTCTAGGGGTTGATTCCCCATTCTTTTCAACCATCGTTCTTTTCCAAGCCAGCTGCTTTTTCCCCTGGGGTTCTGACGGCTTTCTGGAAAGATCCGGATCCCTCGAACGAATGGGCAACGCGTCCCCTCGATAATTCTGTGCGCGCGCGACGCTTCCGCTTCCGGGCGCGGCGCTCCGTCTCCGGCGCCGTGGCTGCCAGGTGCCCCAGCGCCTCGATGTCGCGCCTGGGGAGGAGGAGGAGGGAGCCGCGGGCACAGGAGGCAGCACTGGGATTTCCAACCACAGGGGTAACTTCCATTTCCATTCTTTCCAGGGATCCGGATCTTTCTAGAAACCCAAAAACCCTGGGGGAAATGGCGATCGGTCTTTGAAAAAGACCGATGGCTGAAAAGAATGGGGGATCAACCCCTGGAACCTCTTGATCCATTTACTGGTGGCTTCCATTGAACCCCTCTCTGGAGTCAACCAGGAATATTCCGTCTGCAAAAAAAACACCTCGTGCACGGGCGGTGCCTGCCACCCATTAAAATGTTGATACCCGTTATGAAGCCAGTGGAGCCACCCACGACAACGGCCGCGACGAAACGGCTTTGGGCGCTGTGAGCACATGCGCGGTAAGGCAAGCAAGCTGCTCGTCAATGCTTCCCATGGTCACGTGCACCACCACAGAGCCTGGGCAGTGAACGCGGACTCGCTCTCGGCTCCGCTCGCATGGCACGCGACATAAACCGAAATAATTGGTCATTGCAGTCATGACTTACTTTGATCACACTCATCTTCATTTGCCCTTTTCTGCCTTGTTGAGGCCACAAAAAGCACACACACACACACACACACTCAGCAGACCCAGCCCCCTAAGGCCAGGGCTTCAAATGTAAATCCAAAGCACCGATCCAAACCTCCCACTGAGGGCGACCTGACTTTTTCCCAGAACCAAAAAAAATCCGAGGAACCCCAAAAACCCCCCCAAAAAAAAAAACTCCGAGGAGCCCAAAACAAACTCCGAGGAACCGATCGATGTTTGCCCCCAACACCCACAAAGCAAATTCGAACATCGAGGAGCTGAGGTGATACGCCAGCAGCCCCACAGAGCCGAAGCCCCGGGCGCTCATCGTGGACCCGCAGATGTGGAAGGCGCCCTCGCCTGCGAAATTCGCCATGGCGAGAACTCGGGTTTGCGTTTTTTGTTGTTTTTCCGTTTTTTTTTTTTTTTTAATAATAGAAATAAAAATAAAATGGGATGGTGGCACAAGTGAACCATCCCTCGACCACTCCATGTCCTTGCAGAACTCCGATCGGGTTCTCCTTAGCTCCCTCTTTCAAGGCTAATTTGGGTACCCTAGCTCCTTGGCTCCCTTCCAACCACTAGCTAGTTCAAGTCAACCAGAAACTGCCAAATCTATGGCTTGGACATCTCCCAAACCCTTTCCTTTGCTCGGAAAATCGCCCGACCCGTGCTCATTTGACCATCCCAAGAAACCAGCCAGGTGCGGACTCATCGCGGCGTCCTCGTTTTTGACGGCCGTTTTTCGGCCCGGGAAGCCTACTTTTGAATCCCAGCCTGTTTCATGACCTCCATTCTGTCCACTTTTGGGTTAGGGGCGCCCCCCCCCAAAAAAAAAAAAGAAAAAACTTATATGACACTAGCAACAGTAATAAAAACTGGCCCTTCGCGACACAGAGCCCAAAGGGCGGGCCAAACCCCGTCCCCGTCCTGTCCCATCCCGCGGGTGGGCGCTGAAAACCGGGGACCCGGGCAGTCCGCGAGCACCAGGGACCCGCCCCCCGGCAGCTTCTTGGCCGCCACGTCCACCCCGTGGGTCACAGGATCGAAGGAGCTCCCCGTCTGGAAGCCCTGCCTATGGACGGAGGGAGGAATGGGTGTGAACGGATGGATGGGAGTATGGATGTGTCGCAAAAATGCGAGGTTCCCCCGAAAAAGGATAGATTATAGATATTTTGCGGGGACTCAAAATCTAGACTGGGAAGCTTGAAGCAACCCATAAGGATGTCGTAGAGGGATCCACCCGCTGCCTTCTGTCAGGTTCATGTCAGCGACCCTGTTTTGAGAGGAACGCGACTGGCGACGATGTCCACCCCCGCCTGCCCACGGCATCTTGCCCGTGCAGCAGCGCGTTGCACACTGTGCTCTTGCCACAGCGGCTGCCGCCGATCGTGAAGACCACGTGCAGCGGCGCACCTACCTCGGTGAAATTCCCTGTACCCAACACTTGCCAGGAATCTCATCATGGCACTGCCAAACCGGTGGCAAAGCATACCACCAACAGCAGGAGTCGAGCTCCTGCCGCGCAAAAGCACATTTGTCTGCACAAGTAAGAGAAGCAGAGCTGAGAGCGGAGCACAGAGCAGGGAGGAGAAGAGTGGAAAAGCAAGCAAATCAGAAGGGACCGCGGGCGCCCCACCCTCCCCCCGGCATTTAGAATTGGACTGAAACAAGAATCCGAACAGATTTTGCGAGAGTCCAACACTTTTGGGTTTTGTACCCAGCTTTTGCGTGACTAGGGACCCCCAAAACCGGTGACTTCCGTGTAGCTATGCTCAAAGATGGTTCAGGGGGTCCCGCGCTTGGACCCGTACCCAAACAAGCATTGCCTTCAGACCGACGGAAAACAAAGGGAAATCTACACCCTCTGGGGGCCCTTTTAGTTGGAAACTGGCTGGCAAAAAAACCTATGTTTTTCTTGTTGTTTGCGATGTGCTGAGTTGCAGGTGAGAGTAGGGCTAAAGGAGCAGGGGGGGAGGAGGGGTGGGGGGCATGCCACCGTCGTTACGAAAGGCTTGCACGCACAGGAACACACATGCCAGTGCACACGGTTGATGCATGGCCAAAGTTGGTTGCAGGTGTTGGCAGAAAGCGGTTGGAGAGCAACATGTCCATCCCAGCAAGCATGAACTTGCTAGCGCCTCTCTGCCACGAGAGGAGCACGCAAACCACCCGCGCGCTTAGGGGCTCAATGTATAGATGGTGGCCATCGTCGCACTATGTACCAACTCAGCTTCACTCTGATGGTTTTTGCGTGCATAGCTCCGTTTGGGTTTGTCTCGGCCTCCCATGGAGCAGGATGCCTGCCGTGCTTTGACTGCGGCTTGTTGATGCTGATGTGCTCGAGCAATTAAACTGCAACTATGCAAAAACCTTGGGCTTTAGGCCATCTATGCCAAAAAAACAATGCTGTCCTAACTATCCCGTTTCACTTCCAAGCATGAGCCAAAGGCGACAAAACGCAAATTTCAGCCAGGGGACAACACGTGTGACGCACCTTTCGCCTCCAGGTTTTTTTAACAGCCTGGGACCTTGTAGTTTCCCAACAAGTGGATCAAAAGCCAATCGTTGTCCCGCGTGGCGCTGTTGCCAATTCAACATACCTCCGAGAATCAATCTACACTTTTTGGGGGCCATACGCTTTTGGCGCTTTTGGCAAAAGTTGTGAAAAAGAACGGCGGGGGACTGTGCGTTTGTTGTTTTTTGCTTTATGCTGATCTGCTTGTGCATGCAAGTCTGTATTTGCTGTTTGCACATGTGTTGCTTATGTCGAGCTCCTGTTGGATAAAAGTGTGTTCAAGTTGGGACTGATGTGCAAAGAAGATTGCGTCGGAAAGGACATCCTGTATAAATGCTAAATTGCAATACAGTACGTATTGTTGAAAGTCTGACGTCAATGGAAATTGTGATTGGATTGTGTCCCTTTTTAAAGTCTATATAAATTTAGTTAGACATTGGCTAAGGTTTGAAAACAGAAACCAAGTAGAGTTTCATAAGGAAAGAACTCAGAGGTCCTACATTTGAATGACTTGTGTTAAGCGTTACCTGATTTGTAAAGAACAAATAATTGGAAAGGACATCCTGTGTGGTGTGTAAAATTGAATCTGACATAGAACAAGTATTGTTTAAATTCCAATATGGACAAGAACTTATGGTTGCATACTGTTCTTGTTTGCCCTAAATGAAATTGAGCAGAACTTGATAAAGATATTAAGTAGAGTTTCATACGGAGTTCAAAATTATGTTTTTTACCTGGCCCCCAGCGCTGCCATGGTCAGAAAACGCTGCAAAGCACTGCTTTGTGACGGTTGTTGTACTGATTTCACATTTTCACCAACGGCCGCTCTCTAAGATGCAATTGAGATTTGAACGGAGTTTCAATAGGACTCAGTAAGGAAATGCTTATTCCGAATCCTGGTGGAAATCCTATCTTAGATTTGGAATCTACATAGAATTCCTTGCCAAAAAGAACTTTACAGTTCAATTAGAGTTTAAATAGAATTTGATCAGGAAATAATTCACACACAAGAAATTGTCCATCTTAAATTTCACTTTGAGTAAGGATAATTCCGTTTCAAATTAAACTTTATACAGGACGTCCTGTTCAATAGAACTTTTTTACACATCAGGTGTAATTAAAACACCATTGTGTAAGTAGAGTTCAACTCGAATGTCCATCTTAAACTGGACTTTTTGCAGTAGGATGTCCTTGCACCAAAAAGGATAAAAGACTGGATCAGCCCTGCCGAAAATGAGAAACCCAAAGAACACACACAAAAGAAACTATCTCCCAGAACTCTTGGCACAGTGACAGGATACTTCTAGAAAGGGTGTCGGAGGATTGTCTTTTTTGCTCTTTGTCTTGTGTTGTTGTTGCTTGTTGGTTCTTTATTGCTTGTTTGTTGTTTGGTTTTTGGGCAGGCTACAGCCAATGGAAAGACTGTCAGAGAAAATTGCTTTCGGTTGTTGTGGTTTTTGGGTTTGTTCGAGATTGTCTGGCTTTTTGGAAACACTGGAATGCAGCTGGGAAAAGATGAAATGAAAAATGCACTGCCGCAATCCCCCTGTTCTGAACCAAAAAACCATGTTTAATGTCAACCCCCCCCCCCAATCGTCCCTTTCACTCCACCGGGGATATTGGAAGAAAACTGCAACCCGATTTGTTCCAACGCAACCCAAAAATTATTGCAGCCTACCACCCTGACCCGACTGAGGCAAGAAACCCGGCGCAGCACCGTGAGGCCCTCCTCCTGGATCTGCAGGCCTAAGGCAGGCTTTGGGAGTTCGATGTCGAAGAATCTGGCGACCTGACGTTCGGGGGTCCTGGTTTGGACCCTCAGGCTCCGTGTTGATTGGTGGGAGGGTAATCTGGAATTCTGGCTTGGGCGAGACGATTTGGGTGAGACGTTTTGCAAGCAGTCACAAACGTACCTATCTAGGGGCTCTGAAAATTCCAGGAGTGCCGCGGTCTAGCACAAATAAGCGCGGTGGAGTTTCCACTCCCAATCTAATGATCTCGACAGTTGAATTTTCTGCCGTTCAGGCGCCAGTCCTCATCGCAGCCAGTTTGTTTCGAACGCCTTGGACTGTTTTTGGTCTCTTCATCATAGTGACGGGGCAAAAGCCTACCAGCAAAAGCTTGGAGGGGGCTGAGCGTGAGTGACTACATCAGTCACTCTACCCGCAGGCGGGCCCTTTCTCTCAGTCCAGTGAAAAGGTCACTAGCCGGAACCCAGAGTTTGGATGGCTGGTGGGGCTGGTGGGGCCATGCAAGCATGCTTGGCAACGACGAATGCACAGCAAATCATATCCACGAACAGCAGTGGCGTTACTGGTTTGCTGAAAGCGACAAATTGGTGGCCGGGGGCACTGTCGTTCGATATGCTCTCCTTAACCCACCTGAATGAAAATAGTCTTGAGTGCGCAAGACATGAAGAGGTGATTAACTGGTTGTTCCTGTTTGAAAGGTCTCCTGGGCACCCCACGCAAAGACTCAAAAAAAGAGTTGTTCTTTGGACAGTAACGCCTCCGAAAGCACTAAAACCCGGCTAATTACCATGTTTTGTTCTGCTGTCTAGGGGTTGTAACCCCACCGCGCGCCCACAAATACTTCAATCAAAGTGGGACTGCCTTTGCTTACCCTGGCAAAGTGAACAAACCCAAAGTGGACACCAATAAGAACAGCTTGCCCCAAACCCAGTGAACCCGCTTGCCGGACAAAGGCGGGCCTCCGCTGGCATCGTGTCTCAGCAGCGGGGCGGGGCCAATGACCGCCATGGCTGCATGCCACTAAAAAACAGATGCTCCCTGGCCGCAAGCCGAAGTCTTCCACGGCAGGCTGAGTTGTTTCTGTTTCGCTGCCTTGCTGGGTGGTCGTGGTTGCTGCGTTCGGCGTCTTAGGGCCGAGAACCCATGCGGCCATGCGGTTCGCGGACGCAGAGAATACATGTTGGATCTGTTCCTCATCACTGCCCCTTTGTACGTTACATGCTTGGTAAGGTGTCTCACCTGCGTGGCATCAAACAAGTTGGTTTGTGCAAGAGTCTCCTCAGCTTTGGCTCGTTCTGTGCCATGGTGCATAGGGGGGCGCGTGCCCTTAATTGGCTGCAGTCGCATCCAGAGACCAGCGCCAAGCGAAGACACACAGCTTGCCCAGAGCAACTCATTCGCAGGACCCCCTTCATGGGCTCTGTTTACACAGGTCAGCAGAAGGAATGGGGAGGAAGGTCTCTTTGGCCCGTTCGCTGTAAATTCTGCAATGACAAAAACTAGTGCAGAGTCGCCAACACACAGGGAAAAGGTTACAGGGACTGAGCGGGAGGCGACCAAAGGGTCAGTTGACGGCAAGTGTGGGCCACCTGTTTTCAACGGAACGTCATGGAACACATATCAGAGTACCGTACCATTCTGAAATGGGCGGGGGTTCTTGCCAAACTCCCACGTCAGCGGGGGAGAAACCCGATCTAGAACAATCAAATGGGAGAGCAGAAACGTGCGACATGCTCATTGTGCGACCCCGCTCGGCAAAGCCAATGTAGTGCTTCGCACGGGCGCCCGTCGCAGACCAGACTTAGATCCCCTGGCATCAGGGGGCTGGAGACATGAGGGCCACTCCTTTTATCCGCGCAAACCAAGAAAGACTCGAATTTGCCCATCTCTTGGCAGCAGGGTCCATTTGGGAGGAACATGGGGTCCCACACAAGCCAGGGACTCTCTAATATACCAATTGCTTTCCCGTTCCCGACGGCAAACGACCTTGGTTTGTGTCAGCTGGGCTTCCCGCTGAGACTCTCTCTCAACATGTACTTGAACATCGCCGCACTGCAAAAACCCTCACTTTACATTCGCACAAAAGATGATATCCCACCTTGGCGGTCTCCGAATGCCAGTGATTTGGTCTTGGGCAGGTCCCGATTTTAGAAAAAAAAACAAGTGAAATTCCAACCCCTTCTCCAAAAGTGAAACGAAGCGGGGGATCAAAAGGCACCCGTGAGGCACCCGTAAGGTGAATCAGGGGCCCCGGCCGCTGTGCCAATCTTTGACCTCGGGGGGCAAGCTTGCAGAAGGCGCTCCCAAAAAGAGAGCTGCCCTGTCCACGCTGCCACGGAATCAGCCGGAGGGTACATTCTAAAGGAAAATCGTCTTCCAGGACCCCCCCAGTCGGCCATGTTAGTGGACTGGAGGGTAAACTTGTTCTTTCACGCATCCAGAAACGACAACCATGATCTCTCCCGACCAGGGATCGAAACATCGCCTTTGTCCAAGTCATCGCCTTCCCGCACACCACGGTTTCAAGAAGCCGATGGATGAGGCCTGCAAGAGCCATCAGGCAAACCGGGATGCCACTTTTCAGGCTGACGGATTTCAATGCCGTTCCCCGGTGACCGGATCCGAAAAGCTACACGTTCTCAGCTTCCGGATCCGAGTGTTCAACAGGTGCCCCCAAGTCGAATGCAGCTTCCATCGCACGACACGGGCCCTGGGGATGATGAGGGCCTGTTTCACTTCATGAGCCCCAAAAGATGCTGAAAAGCATGGACCCCTTTGGAAACTCTCCTTTCAAAAACTGGTGGCACTTTCGAAAGGAAGGGCATCTCCCGCAAGGTCCCCGCCTTCCATCCGACCATTGCTCCAGTTGGCCCGTTTTCGCAAAGTCCTCGGCCCTCCCCTCGAACCCCCCCACCGCCGTAGGTGTCCCTTTTGGGAAAATAGATGGGTTTCCCTGGTGGTTGATGGAGCCACCACGTAAACCAGGAATCGAAACCCCTCAATTTTTCAACCAAATCAACCACAAAGGGCCACCCTTCCGCTCCCCCCCCACCGCCAGCTCCGCCCCCCCCCCCCTGACTGCCCTTCGCTTGGGGCCTCGGGCGCGCGCGCAGGAGCTCCAGGGCCTCGCCGTGGAGCTCCGCCCCGAAGCGGCGGTGGTAGGCCTGGTGAGTCGTCCCAAAACTCGTCAAGCGCCACCGGGAGACGGCCATGGGCTTTTCAAAATCCAGATCGGTTAGCCGGGCCCCAGTGACCCTCCGAGATCCAAGCACCAAACTAAAAACCACCAAATGGGGCTGGGCGGATGCACCCATCCCAACCAAGATCAAATCCACCAAAACGGTCTCTTAAGAAGTCAGGGCCACCAGGGCAATCCCTTTTTTGGCCCACAGCCCAGCGATTCGGCCTACTTTTGGGGAAGCATTCCCTGAAGCCGCCAGGTCTTGGGGTCCTCCACAGTCGTAAAACCCGGCGGAGGCCGGGTAAAAAGAAATAGGTTCCGCGGAGAGTCTGTGGGCTTCGAGTTCGCAAACGGGGAGGCAACAACTAAGCAAGCCCAAAAGGGGCACTGGAGCAAAAGCACACCCAATTGGGGGACTGGAAACGTTGCCGGCAGCACAACAGCCCAACATGTTTTCTCGCAAACCACCCAGCTCACAGCAAGATGTTGGGATCAACTTCGGCTGAAAACAAAGAACCGGATTCGAGGGTCGCTTGGGTGGATGGGGTGGGCGTGTTGTGGGAAAGAAAGCCTTCAGCCACAACCCTCATCGCGCAATGTCAACAACCCATGAACAGACTCCACTTGCTTCAGGCGCTGCTTGTTTGCCCGACCGACTGCCAACTAGTACGCGAAGAATTGGCTGCTTGTACTAATTTCAAAGCGCTTGTGAGATTCGGCCATTTGTGGTAAGACCCGCTAGAACTACGCGTCCCTCCCCACCCCCCCCCCCGCCCCTCGCAAAACAAAAAAACTGCTGAATTACCAAAGCTGGTGCTAATGCGTCTGCGAAAGATGTTTCCTCTCAGAGCCCCGGGCATGTCCTTTCCGACAGAAACAAGAACGCACAGTTGAATCTGATTTCAATCGTCAGGGTTCGACAGTAAACGGGGCATCCGGGCATCCCCTTCACTCAGAGCGAGTCCCTCTTGCCCTGGCCAGGCATTTGTCATGCAACCACAAAGTGCATCCTCCGAAAACTTCCGGATGCGGGGGGTAGGGGTTCATGGCGGCAACACTTGGGTAGGGCGAAGAGCAGTACATCGCGGACATCGCGAAGAGCTGCACATCCCACAACCAAACACCAGCGGAAACCATCTACCTTCGACCAACCCGAAAAGGACCCCTAGTGCTCCAATCCCTCCCCCGGGTTTCCCGGCAGCGGATTTGTGTAAAACAAAATCCGAAAACCCCCCAAAGGTCCTCAAAGAGCTGGCGCCGCGTAGAGGCCACGCCGCAGTAGGGCATGATGCGGTTCATCGCCTCGGATCTCGGAATGGGGCGACTCCCACTTATGCTACACCTCCTAAATCATTTCACAAAGTCGGACAGGAACCCCAGGAAGGCACTTGCCAGGGAGGGGAGGTCGGAATGAAAAGAACGAAGGAAAACGACCAGAACCGCAAACGGTTTTTGCAGACTTGGGTTGCCTACCACGGGCTTGGAACCTGAAAAATCATCCATTGAATGAATCCCAGGTTTTCTGCAAGCCTGGATGGCCAGCCAGGAAGCAGTTAAGCAGTTGATATCTCTGGTAAGTTCCCTTGAAGGCCTGCTAACCAGGGAGATCAATGCCGCTGACTGGCTGGTCTTGGGACTTGGTAAAATGCGCCGACTGCAGCCATCAGAAGTGTTCTCTGCGTTTTGCAGGATTGCCCATTGTGCGAAACTGTCCAAACATGCCGAGTCATCCAGTGAATCCAGTTGCCAGCTGCAAACCCATGGAAAGCATTGCCGCCGCCCCGGACCAATTCAAACATACTGACAAGGATCAAATGGGGTGGGGGGGCTGGGCTTTGATGGCACAAAATGCCCAAAGCAGGGGTGACTGTCTGTGCTAAGCTCTGGGTTCACAGGCATCTCGCCCCACTGGCACCTTGTACTTTCCACTCCTGGCGTCTGGAAAGATCTGCACAATTCTACCGTGGTGCCAGAAATAGGTAGATCTGACTAAGCAAATGGGGGGACCCCTCTGACTGCGATTGCTACTCCTCTGCACCAGGGGAGGCCCAGAGTTCAGATCTCTGCTAGCACCTCTCTTGGCTTGCCTTTGTTGGAGAGCATGTCTAAACGCTGATCCCCCAGAGCCATCAGCTGACATGCCACAACTCCAAACAAGAGCAGTAGACAGATGCCTGCCCCATTCCAATTGCAACCACTGGCCCTGGTAGACATGGGAGTCCTTTGGGGGGCCATCCTGACTCATTGCCAGTGACACTGACCATGACCTGTCCCGGTTGGGGACAAAACCCAAGGCCTGACAAGGAACAAGGGTATTCTTAGAAGGGGGGCCTTACTGGGGATAGCGGGGGCCTTGATGTCCCTCCTGACTGGCTTATCACCTTACCTGTTCCAAGTCAGCCATGCTCGGGAATTGATGTCTTAAAACTTCATCATCCAGTGGCCACTCGCTGCCCTCGCTGCCCTCGTCAACTTTCCCGACATGCCGGTTGTTTCTTTTGCCTCGCTAAGTCGGAACCGTTGCGGCACGGAGTCGCGCCACCTCGCGCCGGATGCTGTCGCCTTCCCTCTCGATGTGCGCGGCTAAGACATTCGATTGGGTCAAGGGGTCGGCCCCTTCCCATGCAACAACTAGTTGCCCAGTGGCCGTTGGGTAAGAAGGGAAACATGGTCAGTTCATTCCAGTTGACACGCAAACATCAACTGACACCAACTCAAACAAACAAGCTCAAGCCGGCCACTCAACAACTGCATGGGGTGCGGCACATACCTTTTTGCAAAACTCAAAACTCCGAGCTGAAAGTTGTCCGGCCTTGCAACGGGTTCAACCTAGGCTGGAACTAGGACCCCTGCCAAAAAGATATGTATTTGTCTTTTGCCTGGTTAGTGGAAAACAAAGGGACCCCAAAAAAGAAAAGAACAAAAAAAAGGAGCTAATTCTGGGCGAGCAGCGGGGTCCCGATCACGCGTAGGGCTTGCAGAGGCCCTTGCCCTTGCCCTCTGCGGTCGAGGCCACCACCAGACCCACGATCAGCCCGTAGAGGCCCAGGGCCTCTGCGAAGATGAGGATCAAGATCCTGCGGAAGTTCGTCCCCCGGAATTTCGGGGTCCCCAAGAAGGCGGAGAGGAAACACCGCCGACCAAAAAAAAGAACAATCAACGAGGTCTTTGTCTTGAGTTTTGGGTATGCGTCAAACACAGGAGACGACAACTTGCTTCAAGGGATCTTTGGCAACCCCTAGTTTCTGGTGGACTCGAACGCAGGTTATCCGGTGCTTTCTTGTTGAACTGTGTATCCCTCTTGTGGCTTCCCTTGGTTTACGGCGCGTAGCTTTGCACTGCTCCAATTCATAGTCCATAGTGGTATTTCATCAACTGGCGGAAACGAACTCGCTATGCATCCAGAGCTCTGCTCGGGATTCTTGATCCAATTTGGGACGGACCTGGCCCTCTCCCTCCATTCCTCACCAAGCTCTCCTACCGATGTCCCAGCGATGCCCCTCCAAAAGAAAACATGACATGAACAACCTACCCCCCTCCCCCCGCCCGTTTGGCAACACCGCAGCACCCAACGACATGTGAGAGCTTGCGGCTCCCTCTTGGCTCCCCGGGCGAGGCGGAACAAAAAACTCCGCGCTTCACGCTGGGCGCCCCGGCATGCCCACGAAGAGCCGGGGCTGCTGCGCGTTGGCCCTGACCCCGGCATCCCCCACGATGCCAATGGCCAGCCCCGCGGCCAGGGAGCTCCTTGGAGGAGTCTTGGGGGGAGGGGGGGGAGGAGGGGAAGGGGGGGGGGGCGCAATGGACTGCCACCTCCTTTAAAAGTGAAAAGACCTGGGGTGCGGCAGTTGGGCGAAAAAATAGTTGAAACCATCCAGTAGACTCAGTAAGTAGACCTAAAAGGAGGATGTGGTTGAGTTGGAGTTTGCTGGTTGTTCGTCCCGTGCACCCCTTCCTTTGGCAGGTTGAATTTGAAGGGAAGGCTACCAAAAGAAAGAAATGAGGAACCCAACAAACAAGCAACAATGGCATCATGTGGGTTGAGTCTCCCTTTTCTCCCCCTTTCTGCAGGGAACCTGCCCAGAATTGTTTGAACTCTGCTTCGGTGGCTCATCTTCCCTTCACCCCTCCTTGCTGGTTGCTAGCTGCAAAAAGCTAAAAAAAGCCTTTCATTCAATGCCAAACCAAAATTGGCGTACCCGTACCCCTCTCTTCTGTGTTGATTGATGCCTGCTGGCAAATCCAGCAAAATCAAAACATGGCAGACCGGGGCGCATGCCCACCGTGAGGCCGGCGCCTGCCGATCGATGGGACAAAAATCACCAAGGGTTTGTTGGTACCAAGATAAAAGCAGATGAAACTACCTGAAAAGGGAAAATCGAAGGATTGAAGAAGAAAAAAAAATCGATTTGCCGGGCGTTGCCTTCAAGGATTCAAAGGGATGTGAAAACGGGCGCTTCCTTGCCTCCTTGTCAACTGCAACCTGTTCCAATTCAAGGATGGGTATGCCACGCTGAGCGGGTCGAAAAAGATCATCGCAGCACCCCTCTCTCGTGCTGGGCCCCTTCAAGTGAAGCCTTGGGAATCTAGAAATTTTGGGGAGCTCTAAGCATTTGACCTGGGCAAGAGCAAGTGCAACGCAATTCTGCAAGCCCGGGTGTTTCTCCGAAATCCAGATGGAACTCCTTTTGGGAAACCACCGCTTAAAGGACCCATTTGGTAACCCGATGAAGGATTGCATGGATGCCCAAGGAGAAGTCCTGGCCCATCTGCGCAATCCTCCAGCTGTTGTTTGGTTTTGTTCGTCCTCGAGCTGCTCCCCAAATGAGCCATAGAATTCCAGGGTTTCTTAGGTGGTGCCAAATGAGGAACGGTCAAAATTACTTACTTGCGGCCGTTTCGCTACTTAGTTTGAGAGTCCCATATCGTTTTCCAGCGCTTCCAGCCTTTTCCAGGGGTATGGTTTTTTTGAGAGACCCCTATCGTTTGCCATGTGTGCATTTTCAGAGTATCAATGAAACACCGAAATCCTAAACTCAACAGATCTCAGATGTAATTTTGACGGCACTTCAAATGGATTTCGTCCATCCACAGTAACGTTCATGTGCCCGCCTTGTATTCATGGTGCTGTGAGGCAAGAACGGCATCAGACCACCCTTCTGTGGAGTCACGCAATCTATTTCGCACCACCTAAGAAACCCTGGAATGATGACCCCGCTGTAAATACCAACTACCAATGGTTTCTCATGGTTTCTCATGGTTTCAAAGTGTTGCAGGGTTTCGTCCATCCACAGTACTGATTGTCCACAAACAAAGAACTGCCCCATTGTGATTCCGAACGCGCCAGAGAGCACAGGGATATGCACGTGTTCAAAACCAGGCACCCTCGTTTTGACTTTGAAAGAAAGCCAACAACCCACATGCCCATGGATGACTCAAGCTCCATCATGCAGGCCTAGGTGGGCGTAGCCCGAGTAGGCTGAGTAGTTGGCGGCGTCCATCTTGCCGTTGATAATCACCGCCGTGATGAGCCCATAGATGCCCAAGACACCTGGCAGGTGTTGTAAGCGCCCCTGGAGTCTGCCTGTGATGAGTAAAATCTGGCAAATTGATTGGAGGTTCCCGCAAGTGATCTGTGAAAGCCTCTGAAGTTTGACACCACTCTATTTCGCCTATTGATCCCAGCTTACCCTTGCTTTCCCTTTGGAGAACATTCATGTCAGCTTGCGCTGAGTATGCAAAGGAAGGCTGACCATGGCCTTTATCACACATGCCTGCACGGAAAATGGCACCAACAAAGCTCTGAGATCTTTTCGGGGCCCAAGTTTAGGTATGAAACGCGGCCCAATTCCTAGCTTGCATCGAGGGAATTGCCCCCAGTCTGACTGTGTTGGATTTTGAGTTTTCAACCCCTCAGCTCCACCACAGAGAGTGCAATGAAATCTTCGGCAAACAGCTCTTCCTATTCTTTCCTCAGACAACATCTTGGGCTCTCATTTAGCAGAATTTATGCAGGGCTCACGTGGCTATATTGCGGTTTTGTGGCCTTTGCGGGCAGTGCCGTGCTGAAATGACTTCGGACGGAAAAGGCTCCAAAGGGGCCGCGAGGATGGCTAACGGGCAAGCGCGGACCGATTCTCGTGACGAGAGCAGAACACCCACACGGCAGCATCCTGCCATCATGCCAACTGTTTGTTTCACAGTAGCACTTGAGCCTTCTTGAATCCATTTCAGCAGATGCGTCACGGGGAGCATGTTCTTCTTTGCTGCTGGTTCCATGGCTGGGCTTGTTTTGAAGCTTCCAACCCTTCAGTCCACCCGAGAGCACCCCAGAATCTTCTCAGCCGAAACCACAGCAGGCTCAAGAAAAAGCGCCCGTGCCTGCCATGACCACGGGAATGATGGACTTCATGATCCTTACAGAACCACAAAACTAGTTGATGTGCTTCTGGGGTTCTGTTGGGGGATGTAGAGGAAAAAAACTGGATAGGAGAAAGAAAAAGAAAAAGTAGTTGATGTGCTTCTGGGGTTCTGTTGGGGGATGTAGAGAAAAAGACCACATGGGAGAAAAAAATGGTAGTTGATGTGCTTCTGGGGTTTTGCTGGGGGATGTAGAGGCAAAAACCGGATAGGAGAAAACAAAGTTTGTTGATGTCCTTCTGGGGTTCTGTTGGGGGATGTAGAGGAAAACTGGCAACCAAAAAGAAAGAGATGCCATGTCTGGTACTTGCCATGGCTCATGTCCGGGCGCATGACTCCCATAGAGGCGATCCCAACCCCGGATTTCGCCGTGCCATAGGCCGCCCCCAGGTTCGCGAAGACCAGGGCGGAGGTGACGCCCATAAACCCGAAGAAGGCCGAAGAGGGGTCGCACTCCATCTCCGGCATGGTCCAGACGCGGCTTTCGCGGTGCTTCTCTTCTTTTGGGCTTTTGATCCGGCCACTTTTTGGGCGCTTCGGAGATTGAGCCGCACATCGGTCAAAACGCAGTGCTCGGCGTCAACACACAGCGCGAGTCAAAGCGATGAGCTTTGCCCAACCCGAGCCCCACCCCAATCGTCGCATTAATCTCCCCGTCCTCAGCATCTGGCCCATCCCGGCCCACTGCTTCTTTAGCGGCTCCGGCACGCCCTGCAACTCTGCCTCAACAGCAACCCCCCCACCCCCCAATGCCCCACCCCAAACCCCAACCTACCCCCACCTCTACAAAGTGTAGCTTGCCCTTGTCCATGAAAGCCTTCTGCAGTGCCTTGGAGTACCGCATCTGCGCCTTCATCTCCTTGCGACGTGTTTGAAGGGAATCCGCTTAAGGAAAATGGAGCCCCGTGGCAAATTGGGGCCTCGGCTTTGGCTGGTTTCCCTTTACTGTAAACCAACCCCAAAGAGGGTACAAGAATTGGCACTCAAATGGTGGCACTGGCAAATGAAAACGATTTCAAACTAAAACCAGTGGAGCCTATCTGTTTCCAATTAAGCCTACCAAAAGGGACACCTCTTAAAAGTCGCCTCATGGTCCGGACCCACAACGCTGAAACAACTCGACATCCAGCTATGCTGCGCAGCAGGTGCGCACAAAACTTGCCTGCGAAATCGGGAAGCCTGAGCAGGCAGTCCCACTGGATTCATTTGCACGACATGTGCCATGTCACACGCGCTTGCCAACATTCTGGCTGGTTATAACCATCCCTCACCGGAAGGCTACCATGGCCAGCAGCCAAAGCACAGCGCTGCAGCTTGTCATACAACGATCCACACACGCAAACATCAGCCGCCCACGGAGCCACAAACCAGCATGACAAGCTCCTCCACCTTGATGTATAGCCACACCCCAACTCCTCTTTCAGTGCGAAACTCGCAGCCCCATCCCCACACACTCAAACCACTTGCCGAACCAGAGTTGCAAGCAACGCGGCGTGCCCGTTGCAACCACCACTGCCATCCGATCGCTGAAGACGTGAGGGTGAGGATGGTGATGCCACACCTTCATCAGCCCGCTGACCGATTGTGCATCTACAAACGAACTTCACATAACCCCACCAGCATGGTGCTCTGCAGCAAATTGAACACCACCAGGTCAGCAATGTACGGACTTGCCTCTGCCACATGCCCGAGGATCCAGCGCAGCGGCTGGCGGAAGCCTACCCGACGTAACGAAAGGATGCCCACAAGCACGCAGCAAGTGAGTCCGCGCAAGGCCCCCATCCGAGACCACTACACCAAGACGACAGACAGCTGCCGCCAGCGAAGAAGCCCTCACGTCAGGGAACAACAACATCCCAAACATGCAGGATAAAAGCGCGGCATGCGCACACAAGGAGCCCACGTTCTGGGAGGAGACCACCCCGACAAGACGACCACATTCTCACATACATCAAGCTCCAGCAAGATCTCAGAGGGAAGGAACCAAAGGCCATACGAAGCCCAAGCAGAAGAAGCCCACGGGAACAGACACGGCACATAGCCAAGACCAACCCACGGACCCACCGCCGCAAACCACAGCTGGCCGCGAGGCCGTGTTGGACACCGGAGGGCCCCAGCGGTCGAAGGAGCCCACCGGACCTTCATGGGTGAGCTCGCTTCACTCTTCGGGGCGCTCGGTATAACGCCTCGCCACTTTCAACGGAATGAGTTCCAGATGCCAGTCTACAAGGCTGGTGTCTTTTCCATGGGTTCCACCCCCCAAAAAATACACTTGCACCAGGTGCAGGTGCTGTTTAGGGGTGCGGCGCTTTTGCGGGGTTGCTGTAGGGCATGCTGTTTGGGGTGCAGGTGCAGGTGCTGTTTTGGGACGCTGTTTGGGGTGTTCTCGCAAATCGCTTTCCCCGGTTTATTAGAAGCTAGAACCCATATAGCTTTCAGCTTTCTGAGGAAAAAACATTGGTTTGCATTTGACAGGCGCAAAAGGGGGACCCACCAACATGAGGGTCCAAACCAAGCCCACCCCGCTTTTCCCTCTCAGGCCGTCCTTTTGAAAGAGCGCTTCCTAAGTGCAAAGCGCCGCTCATGACACATCTGTGTGCTCTATCGGTGACTGGGGCACCAGCTGTGGAGGGCTCCACCTGGCGTTTCTTGAGCTGACGAGGGCCGAGGCTGATGCGGTGGCGGTTTCTGGGATCTCCTTTTAACACTTGCGCTCAAATCGGGGGCATATTGGGAAGGACGTCGATGTCAAGGGCGGAGGGAGAATGCAAGAACTGGCCTGATTATTCTACCATGATCAAAGTCATCCCCTACGTGAAGGGAAACAGCCCCATTTTCTGACTTTGATAGCCCCTAGAAACGGTCAAAATAATGACCCTAGCAGAAGCCTGCGCATCCTGCGCTAAATTCAAGCCACAAGCGAGCCTGCACCTTACTTGCCTCCCTCCGCTGCAAGTCGGGAACCAGGGAACGCCTGCAATGTACATTGGTTGGGTTTGTTGACTCGCATATATGGAAAATCCACGGAGCCAACAACTGATACCGTCTTTCCGACAACACACACACACACACCCTTCCTTCCAAGTGACCCGGCGGTAGGAAGGAAAAGGGCAGCACCTCTTTGGGATTGATTCCATTTTTTCCGACCCCACCCCACCAAAACAGGATTTGAGAGCAAATCCCCAGGTGCCCCTCCCAGCCTTCAGCTGCAGCAGCACCCTCGGGCTGAGGCCGCTCCGCTCGCAGGGTGCCACCTGAAATGGGCAACAGCGCAGGAGGTTCTGCGTGGCCCCAAGATGTGGCTTGGCCAATGGCTTGGCCCTTTGTTGTGGAATCGCAACCGGTCCATGGGATCACCGGCCTGCTCAAGTCCTTTATGGTGAAGCCCCCGATGCGAGACTCCTTAGGGAACCCCGCATTTTGCTCCATGTCAGTTTTCTGGAGCTGTATCAAACTCACAGGCAAAGCTGGTTGCTTAAGATGCGACCTAGCCCACACAGCGCTGGCCAAAACCATTGGCAAACGAACACCCCAGAACCCCCAGCTTCACCAAGAATGCCACCGACCTCTGAGCCAAAGCGGTCTCATACGTTCGGTGCGCGCGGGTGACCGACCCTCCCAAGCTTTCAAGCGAACACTTGCGCTTTCCATGTGTTACAGGAGCGCAAGCGGTAACCGCAGCTCGCTCGCCGCAAAAAAACCTGCGGAGAGCGCTTGCGAAGCCCTGCCGCTTCGGTGGCATCAACGAAGCAGAAGCAGCTCTAGGGAATGCCAGGAACGTTGTTTTTGTGTAAGCCAGACGGTCCCTGGACAGAACAGAATTTCACCGAAGAGAACGGTATCTTCAGCTCCGAACCAAGCCTTGCGCATGGCGTGGTTTCTTGGCTCGGTGAACTCCAAAAAGCAAGTCCCATTCCAGAAGTTGATTCCCATTTTTCGTGAGTCTCTTCCCAACTGTATCACAAGCGGCCACCCGAAACCAACATCCACATGCCTCAACATGACCCTCCAAATCGCGTCATGAAAAGCCCTAAGAGTGTGGAGAAGCCCTCAA